ATTTCTTGAAGGATCCTTGTGGAAATATCACCAATTATTAATTAAAGTATCCTCTTTTTAATGCAAAAAGCCGTTTTGAAAAATCACTTTCAGTTCTTGAGAAATAAATTTTTGAAATAATCGACAATTTTTTCGAATTTTACAATTTTCGCCGATTGAGTTTTAAAAATTAGTATAAAATCCACTTCTTGGAATATGAGTATGAAAATTTCCCAAAGTGTTAATAAGAGTGTCCTCTTTCCAATGAACCAACACATTTTGAAAAATAACTTTTAATTTGTGAGAAAACAATATTTGAAGTTTTGATAAAATTTTCGATGTTGCAATTTTCATCGATAATTTTCAAAATTCGCTATAAAATTAATTTCTTGAAGGATCCTTGTGGAAATATCACCAATTATTAATTAAAGTCCTCTTTTTATTCAGCAGATTGTTGTATATTTTTCTTGAACTGAAAGTAGAACAACACCAGACCTAGAACTAGAATCATTCGGGATTAGCCGTCTTGAGAGACGTGCGGCTAAACCCGAATGATTCTAGTTTTAGGTCTAGTGTTAGTTCTAGTGACAGTGTTAATGCAAAACTAGAACTAACACTACACCTAGAACTAGAAACATCAGGGTTTAGCCCCACATCTCTCAAGACGGCTAAACCTGAATGATTATAATATCTAAGTCTAATATCAGTTCTAATGACAATACTAATGCAAAACTAGAACTAACACTAGACTTAGAACTAGAAAGTAACGAGTTTATCCGTTATAAGAGACACACTCTTTAGCCGTCTTAAAGAGCAAATTAAAAATTTTTCATATAATGGACACTCTCTACCAGGTTATATAATCTCGATTATATTATATTAATCTCGATATTAATCCGTAATATCGAGATTTTACTGTAATTTTGAACTGAATGTTTTTTAAAACCCTTTTTATTAATTTTATTTATTTGATTTTCCTCTCAAATTCAATTAGAAAAGTCAAAAGCCAAAAATTTTTAATTGCTTCATGTTGGATGGCCATTAAAGAGGAAGCGCAAACAGCTTTCCAACCCCTCTCTTTCTCCACTTCATATATGTATATAGAGGGTGTTATGTAGTGCGGGACGTACACGTTTCGAGCATTAAAAGGGGTTAACAGCCCGTGCCAGACACCCAATTAAAAGTGACTTTTAATAATTTATCCTTTCCCCAAAAGCGTTCAGAACCCCAAAACCCACTCTTGATACCCCCTATCTCCCCATATTATTACATCTGTGTGTGCGTATGAGACAACGAACAATGGGATTTCATTATATACTTCGAAATTAATCCGCGTTTGAATTACGATGTTGAAAACCCCTCGGATTACCACATGTTTAATATGCTTTGACTACTATTTTAATTTTTAATAATTATCTATAAAAACGTTTAAACAAAATTAAGCAAATTATTTTATTTGTTTTAGGGCACAGATAGTTGGCAAGGAAATGATAGTGATCAGGTGAGTAATTTTTAATAAATCTATTGAGCGAATTGCAATGTTTTATCTGAAAATTTCGTTAAGAAGTTTATTTTGCAGTCAATTTCGATTCCATCAAAAAATTTACATAACCCACTCAAAAAGCGTCGAGATAAAACTTTATTCCCTGAAGGCTTTTTGGAGATTGAATTCTTTGTCGATGTTCTCGGTCGTAAAATGTAATAAAATCGTCGTTATAAAACATTGTAGTAGCACCGTGGTAAAACAATAAAATGTGTATGTAGATAACACACGAAACGCGGACGTGTTATTTGGGTCATCTATACGACAAACGAATTTTATTTATTTATTTCGCATTGATAAGTTAAATTTTAAATTAATGGGAACCGAATTAAAACGAAATTATTACAGTGCGATTTTATTCATATTTTCACTACACCGTAAATAATTGCTTTTCGTTTAACGTGTATTTGATTTTGTTTTATTTTATTCTTATTTTATCTGGTTTAAATTGTTGCTATTTATTTTGTTTTTGATTTATATAAAATGTATTTAAATTATTAATTATTTTAGTTAAATTATTATCCAAATAGAATTTAAATTTAATATAAAATTTAAATATATCCGTACCTAACTTCGTCTTATTTAACTTTGAAATTATGACACCTTTATTAATTTGAAAAAGTTAATTTTTAAATATTACTTTTTATAAGTTTATTAAGCGTTAATTAAACGATTCCACAAGAGGAAATTTACATTTAAAAATTAAATATTTACATTTTTAAAACTTCATTTAAATTCAAATGAATTCGTACCTATCTTCATTTTAGTGTACTTTTTTATTTTTTAAAGGAGAATTAGCAAACATTTAATTTTTTCTTACTTTATTAATGAGAATTCTATAAAAATATTTTTGTTTAAAACAAAAATTAATTTAAAAAAGAAATTTAATTTTGTTATTAGTATGAAAGTGATTAACGACTACATTCATGTTGTTCGGTGTAGTGCTAGACGGCGTCGCGTCCCAACTACTTTTCGCCCCCCGATTTTCGGGCGAATTGTTCGTTTTCCGGGTAGTGAAAGTGCCCGCGATCGACACCTGTTGGACCTCCAGGTATCCCCCAACGAATAACGACCCTTACCGGTGGTTTTTCACCCCATTTCATATCATAGAATTCATAGGCGTTACCTGTTCGTCGAACATAACCTACAAAACCGACGCGTAACACCTGCGTTGATTCAATTTCAAAAGCAAAAAGGTTTTTAGGCCTTAAAAACGATTAAATCATTTAATCGAATATAATTTTAACTTTTATTTGAGGTAAATCATAAAAGGATTGGATATAATTGTGTTTGAAATGTTTTTGAGGTTATGTTTTAGTTTATAAATTTAAATTGTTGTTTCATTATAATTGCCTTATAATTTCACGGATTAATGACTTAAATATGTGCTTACCTGGTTAAAAAGATTCGGTTTTGAAGGTTATGTTTGTTATTGCTGGGCGGACGCTAAAAATAGCACGGCATAGTTCAAATAACTGTTTATGGGAAGGTCATTAAACCTGAACCCTAAGGTTGCAGGTTACAGAATAATTTTTATTTATTTTTAAGGTTTCAAGATTTATTATTGAAAAGAAAAAAGTACATTCATAGAATGTAACAAGCGTATCGTGTCACACGCATTTAATGCATCATTATTAGAAAATAATTGTAACTTGTTCGTTAACCTTGAAGACAAGTTTTTTATTTTTCAAATAAAAACTTTAATGATATCCCATTTTTTCAAAGAAACCACGAAAAATCACCGGTTGGGAAAATTTTGTAATAACCCATAATTGATTCATCCTACTGCTTATTTATCCTTTTAAAAAATTCAAATTTCCTTTATTTAATATTCCTTTGTGTATACAGATGTCCACGAAAGATCCACGTGATCGGTTTTTAAACTCACCATCAGTGTCGTGCGAGTAAACCGCGATAAGTGAGAAAAATCTTAAGAAAAAAAAAAAAGGAAAGGTGCTGTGTGACTATGTACGGTGAAAGGATCGAGGAATAAAAATCGGGTTTATAGGATGACGTCCAGGAGGAAGAAAAAGCAACAGGACGGCTTTATCAAAAAGGTCTCCTCTTTGTTTAATTTGGACACTGTGAGTGTTTTGCTTGCACAAAAACCTCCATCATTTTATGCAGAAGAAGTTATTAAAAACCATTTTAAAATTTTAAATCGTGTTGATGTTATTTTGGTATTTTGCAAGTTTATGAACGCAGCTTTAAATCGCGTATTGTTTTATTCAGAGCGCTGGAAATAATATAAACACGACGGTAGATTAAATAAAGTGGAGTGCCCTACATTGAAGTATCTCGAATTTTTGTAGCGCAACAAGAAAATGGATGAACTCAAAATTTTACATGATTACAATAAGGGTTGTCCTACTTCAGCTAGTTCTAGTTTTAGTTGTTATTCAGCGCTAGATGGTTGTATATTTTTCTTAAACTAAAAGTAGAACTAACACCAAACCTTGAACTAGAAACATTCGGGTTTAGGTCCATTACTACCATCTTTTAGTTAAATTTATCTTATAGATAAACTCATCTACTAACCAATCAGAGCGCGTGAAATAGCCGTAACCATAGTAATAATCCCTTAGATAGCTTAACCAAAAGATGGTAGTAACGAGCCTTAGTCGTCTTAAAAGACATGAGGCTAAACCCGCTTTTGCTGTAACACTATCACTAGAGCCAACACTAAACCTAGCACTAGAATCATTCAGGTTTAGCCATACGCCTCTCAAGACGGCTAAACCTGAATGATTGTAGTTCTAAGTCTAATATTAGTTCTAATAACAATACTAATGCAAAACTAGAACTAACACTAGACCTAGAACTACACTCAATGGCATAAAAGCCGCATCACCTAAAATCATGACCGGTTTCAAACTGTAATAACTTTTGAACGTATTCCTCGATTTGAATAAAGTTTTTTTTATTTGGAATGTCTACCCTTTGCCAATATTTCTGTAGGCGCCTTCCCCATTTTGGCGCTCTTTAATTTCAGCAATGGGGAATAACGCCAATGCGTGTTTTTTTTCATACACTTTGAAGCTTGCTCTGGGATGCAGTGACCAAAGAAAATAATTTTACTCATAAGGGGCTTGTAGTCTCGTCTTTTCTGATCACTTCTGTTTTTTGTTCAAGTTTCTAGTGTTGTTAACACCAAACTTACAAGCTCTAAAAGATAACGCAGCTTGTTCAGCAGCGCCATCAGAAATTAAAGCAAGTCGTGGAAATTGACATTTCAGTCACGTTTAGTGTCGTTAACGTCGTACACTGGTGCTAAATAAGAAATGCCTTTAAGTCCTGCAGAAGTTGCTCAGGCAGTGGCTTTGGTGGAAGATGGACGTACAGTACCGCTCAGAAGTATATGATAATTTGGTTTTTCCTACATAACTTTTCTAATACTGGACGAATCTTCACACAATTTTCAGGCAATGCATAACGAGTGAATACAATTATATTATATTCCAGAGGATACAATATATGCCAAAGCATAGAAGCGCGACAAATTTCTTTTGAAAATCGATGTCGTCAGGCCTAGAAATAACTTTTGTTTTAATTTTTTGTTTCGCATTATTTTCACGTGATATTTTCTGAAAGTTATGAAATATTATTCTTAAGAATGAGTAAAAAGAAAGGAGTTCGACATTTGTCGGAATTGCCGCAGAAGGCCATCGTATAGGGTGCTCGACAAGGATGCACACAGATGCAGCTCACCACGCAGATATCATCGGTATTGAAGACGTGGAGCAGACTTGGTTGCTTCGTGACGAAGAAACGAAAATACCTCGAATCACCACTCGGCTGGACGACAGGAACGGTGCGATGCTGTGCAGAGCGAACACACGGTTCACGACGGTGGACATTGGGGGTCAAGAGGAGGCTGAAGGATGCAGGACTCATTGGTCAATGTCCGATAATGAAACCACTCGTTTCAGCTAAGAACAGGAAGGCGCGCGTGGAGTAGGCGTCCTCAACTGCACGCGTCCCTCAACTGCACCCGGCAGCAGTAGAAGAACGTCCCTGTGGAGCGACGAGAGCAAGTTCCTGCTATTCGGAACACCCTTCGGGCACTCGCTTCAATCCCAAGCACCTGCATCCCACGATGAAGCATGTCGGTGTTTCCGTCATGGTGTGGGGGTGACAGGGACTGTCTGCAAGATGACATGCTTCCCTGGTCATGCAAAAACATGGGTCGGTGTTGGCTGTTTCAGCAAGACAATGATCCCAAGCACACATCCAGGAATGTCCAACTGGTGGATCGCGCAGCGTTGAGTGGCGGTAATGGACTGGTGCAGCCAGAGCCCGGATCTCAACATCTTCAAACCACTGTGAGACACTCTTTCACACAAGTTGACGGGCATTCGGACCACTTCCGCCGACGAAAAGCTCCAACAGCTGTAGGCGAAGTGGGTGAAGATCGACCAGTCCACTATCGATGCATCGATCTATTCCATGCCCAGATGTCAGGCTGTGATCAACAGGATGGGTTACCCAACCAAGTACTAGGTTGCTCTATATGACTGATTGTCGTTCACGATTGTTATGTTGATATTTCTTGAGTTATGATTTATTTTTGTTGACATCGCTTTATAGCGTATTTTCGTATTTTAATAAAAATAGTTTTTTAATAACTCAAAGTTGAAATGGATTCTTCTACATAAGTCTATGTCATGTGAAATGCATTGCAAAAACTATGGTGAAAAAATGGTCTGCTTTCATAAAGTTTCAAAAAAGTTATGTGGGAAAAACCAAATTGTCATATACTTTTGAGCAGTACTGTAGCACTCGTTATGTTGCTCTTGTTGTTGGCGATATATATAGAGTACGGTTTCTCGCGCCATTCAACGATTTCGGCAGACTGGCACCTTCATCAGACAACCTGGGTCAGGAAGAAGACAACCTCGTGGTAATCGATATATTGTAACGACCGTGTTACGAAATCGATATACCGCAGCAGTTGAGAT